CTTACAGTGCCCGTGAGGGTTTTCACCAATAAGACTCTCTCATTTTTAATATCTCTCAAACTCACTTCGCCTTACGGTGCCCGTGAGGGTTTTCACCAATAAGACTCTCTCATTTCGTCATTTTCCTTCTGGCACCAAAGTGTTGTCCCCAACAAAATCACTTTACCTGCTTGTATTGACATTTGTTAAGATTGATCGGAAGGTCTTTCTTTGGTCCGTAATGTGGCTTTTGGATGGGTTTAGAAAGAAAGGTATAGAAGCTCAAAATAATTCGAACGTGGGTCCAAAATTACAACTTTCGGAATCATATCTCATGCAACAACCATAACTTCTGCCCCAGTTTCCCTTCCGGGGATTATTTGGATTTTTCTTTTGTTATGACTGAACCTCAGTGAGGCTGCCTACGTACCCTTTCGGGATCAAGTCAAACGTAGTTCAAACGACTACGTTCATTGTTGCGATCTTTCCTTTTCTTCCACTTTTGTTTTCTTTCCTTTTACTTCTTTTCTTTTCTTTCTTTTTTTCTTATTTCCTGTTTCATTTTCTTTCCCTGCTCGGCCTTACGAGCTTGATTATTGATTCCGAAAGAGGGGTATGCAAGAAAGTATTTAAGGCTCAAAGGGGTAACGAGGGATAAAGTGTTTAGATAGCAGAACAAAATGCCTTCGTCATTTCAATCTCAAAATATGTCAAATACAATCAAGTACACAAAGACAAAGGAATCATACATAATATCTCTTGATTGCATCAGAATTGATAGCCATTTCTACACATTTTCCTTCCACATCTGTCAAATATAAAGCGCCATTGGACAACACTCTGGTTACAACAAATGGCCCCTGCCAGTTTGGGGCGAACTTTCCTTTTGCCTCAGCCCAATGAGGTAGGATACGTCTCAGCACCAACTGCCCTACTTCAAACTTACGTGGACGCACCTTCTTGTTATATGCTCTTGCCATTCTCTGTTGGTATAACTGACCATGACATACCGTTGCCAGTCGTTTTTCGTCAATCAGACTTAATTGTTCCAAGCGGGTTTTAACCCATTCATCATCATCAATTTCTGCCTCAGCAATGATCCGGAGGGACGGGATCTCAACCTCTGCGGGTATTACTGCTTCGGTTCCATACACCAAGGAATAAGGAGTCGCTCCTACTGAAGTGCGGACAGTAGTGCGATAACCCAACAATGCAAAAGGTAGTTTTTCATGCCATTGCCTTGACCCTTCGACCATTTTCCGAAGTATTTTCTTGATATTCTTGTTAGCTGCTTCAACTTCTCCATTTGACTTAGGACGATATGGAGTGGAATTGCGGTGCATGATCTTAAACTGCTGACATGTCTCGGCCATCAAATGACTATTGAGATTTGCACCATTATCTGTGATGATTACNACCAGAAGCACTCAGGCTTCTGTGAACCTGTCATGCTCTGGAAATAGTTATGGTCAAGCGCAATGGAATTTAGTATCAGAAAGAAGGTTAGACATGCCTTAGGAGTTGTAAGCCCATATCTGGGTGAGAAGCATATAGATTTTCAATTTTTATTTGCATAGCTAAACACTGGGTAAATTGAAAAGACCAAAAAAAGAAAAAAGAGAAAAGAATAACCGAAACAAAAACACAGTATAGGTTTTCAAGTTACATCTTGGATAGAGCTCTAAATATCGGGAAACCTGATTCAAGTCATAAGACTGATGACACATCTTTTCTCTTAGAGCTTCTCAAGTGCTGGGGCTCGATACAATTTCCGTCCTTGTCTTTTCACTCATGTTTGGGTGCTAGACTCTATACTTTATTAGAGCCAGATTTAGTAAACCTACATTATCATTCTGGCTTGTATCAAACAGAGCAAAGCAAATGAATAGAAACCAGTCAGAGAATTGGAGAGAAGTCTTGGGAAAAAGAAGGATCATTTCCCCACTCATTTCCCGTCCTGGCTACACCTTCTACCTTGCCTTGAATTAGACATGTCCAGGCCTCTGATTTAGTGATTTTCGTTCAGTTTTCTGACATCTAGTGTGCAATTTCCTTCTCTGCTTTAATCTGAAGCAGATTACACTCCTCTTCCCCTGTCGTGAGTTTTAGTTGATCTGATACTAATGTCTGTTAGTAGCAAAAGGATCAGCAGAGGTACTCTTTCATTGCTATTTGCTTCAGGTAAATCATCAGCCATTAGCAACAGCATTTCCCAACCAGACTGATTGCTGCTAAATTCTTCAAACTCTGGTCATCTCTTTGCGCCCTTCTGTGAAAGTTCAGCTGCAATCTTCTTCTTTTGTCTTTGCACAAAGCCTGAAGCCAATTCCCACTGTTTGATGCCAAGAAGCTTACCACAAAACGCTTTTTACCCATTCAAAGTTAAGTTTCTTAAACGAGCAGAAGATTCGCCTTCAGCATGTAGATCATTTATAATTGAGGTTTTGCTCAATATAGTTGGTTATGGATTAAGTGATTTGACATGAATGCTTCGGTTATGAACCAAATCGATTTTAAAGAGATTGAACAGAAAGGCACTGAAACTCAACCGATATCTCAGAGTTGCAATTTATATTGGAGGAACTCGGTGGAGTGGACTTATTTTGATTTTTGATGAAAGATAATTCACTCACTTTTGACACTTTTTGTTAGCTGAATACACATTTATAATCCTTTCAGTTACCTTGCCCATTTTCTCTGTTTCTATTTCTTCTTGACACTTTTATATTTATGAAAAAGATGAATGCCCATGAGAGCTACGAATCACAGAAAAAGTAAATGTGAAGCATTAAACAAGTGTTTAAAATCTTACATGGTGAATTTTACGATATAAGGTAAAATCATACCTTTGTGTAGTGTATGGACTAAAATTACCATTTAGTACCAGGAACTGTATAAATTTTACTTGAAAGAGCGTTGAAATCTACGTTATATAAAAGATGGTTACGGGGAAGTGTTAATTTTGAAGTCCAAGGTATGAGTTCTCAGGAAATCTTTGAGAAAGAGAGACACTGACGGAACTCGTCATAGAACAAGGAAAAAACTCATGGATTAATGGCCAAAATTGTACAAATTGGAACTCTTTGTGTTATTGACAATTCTATGCAAGTTATTCAATGGATTTAACCAGTCTATAATACCCCTGGGATTGTAACAGAAACATCAATCTTTAGCTAGTCTTTTACTGAGGTTGTGGGTGTCCGGCCTTCAGGAGTTCTACCATCTCTCTCTGTCACTGTTAATCACCTACCGATGCTAGCATTTCTTGATTGCACTTCATGAATCAACAAATGTGTCATTGTTAGATAATGATCTTCACAAACAGTTACATCCATCACTAAAGAGGAAAAAGAAAAGGAAAACAAAGAAAAGCTCAAATATTTTTTCTCATCTTCAACATTATCCTCCATTAAAGATGAAATTCAAGGTTTCTCTGAAAAGCAAGCAATTTCCTTAATAGCCCCCATAGTCTACGCTTCCTCCCATGAGATTGATTTTGTTTTTTAACCCGCGTGAGAAAGAAATAGGTTTCAGTTAACCCTCAATGTATAACAAAAATGAGATTTCCATGTGCTTTGTTGATTATACCACAACTGCTTTTCTTTCTTTCGTGAATATGCTGTACGACAAGAATGCTTATATGAAAGCTCTCCTTTAGTTAGAGTTTCCTTGTTATACTCTTCATATTAAGCTCTTTAGTGTATTTTTCAAGAGATTTGTGCTAGTAAGCAAAAAGAAGAAAACAATTGAAACTTGAGAAAATCTTGAGTCAAAAGAAAAAAAAGAAAAGAAAATGTCACTTGTTTAAAATGATGGAACAACAATAGACTTCCTTATGATAGGAGTAACTAGTGTAGCAGGTTTGTTTAATGTGCACATAGAGTCGAACCCCCTTTAGATGTTTATGTTCATGAAACTGCAACGGACTTGGAGGTGAATATATTGTTGACTTGTGAAATTGGCATGACAGCTTTGTGCTTCACTGAATATAAACAAGAAAAGTGTGGATAGGGACCTTGATGTTTATCGCAATTTGCTCTCCAAGCTGGTTCAGGCTAAAGAGCTGTTGAAGGAATATGTGGAAAGGTTAGAGTTTCTCTTTTGTTTGACACTAATTGGTGTCCTTTCTCTAACTGTTTTCTAAGAACTTTTAAGCTGCTTTCTCGCATGCATGCTTCTTGGATAAGCTCTAACGAGATTTTGTTCATCATATTCTGCCTGAAATCCATGTCTGTCCTCTTACCAAACCCTTTCTCAGAAAAAAAACCCTCTTCTTTTCCTTCCTCCATCTTTTACATTCTTCACATGCATTTTGGAACAGTGCAAATATATTCGATCAAGACCTTGACTCGTGAATTTTTTTTATCATTTAATCTCAATTATACGATGTATCTGTCATCCAGGGAGAAGAAAAAAAGAGGAGAAAGGGAATCTCAGAAGGCCAATGAGGCTGTCACAAAATGCTTGGGAGATTACCAATATGCTGGGAGGTAAGGCAAAGATCATTTCGTTCTCCTGCTTGGACCTCATTGACTTGTTTCCCAAATGAAACAGTCCATGTATGATAGAGTTCAGTCTCCAAAGCTCAGTCAAGTTATATTAGAAAATGGAAGTTACGTTCAATGTTTTGTTATTACAGCAATTGAGGTATATCCCAATGTTCATTATTTTCTGGTTAAACAGAATAGCTTTATTGTTGCAACTATGTCTATTATATTTGTAGATAAAACCTCGAGTAGTGACAAAAATCAAGATTTGCTCAGCAGTCATGCTTCTCATTTTCTTTGGTTCTGCTTTTGCTTCAAGTTGTAAACAGTGCTTTACAACTATCTATACGTTTTAGTTGGCAAACTAATGTTTGTTGATTATCAGAGTACTGATAAAATCAGATGAACTCTGCTGTAACAATTCACTATGTAGAGAGAGCTCTTCAAGTGGGTGAGTATTCATACTTGCAGAAAATATGTGAAGGTAAAATAGTAATTATATCTGCCACCTTATCCTCGGAGATCAGGGCCTTTACGTATACTTTAGAGAACTTCGTCAGTTATTTGATTGCAGATTTTAAAGTTCCATTTGTGTTTTTCTAAAGACACGTTCTTAATTAAGATACGCAAAATCTTAGATTCGTAGTGTTAGTCGCTAAAGGTATCCACAATTGTCTTAAATCTTGAAATGTTACAACGTCTACTTCAAAATAATACTCACATTTTTTATACCGTCCCATTTACAGTGATATAGAAATTTCCCATGACTGAAATGCCACTAAAATCTGTGGTCATTTACAAGGTTGGGATTAGTACAGTGCTTTAAGTTTAAACCATATTACCGTATACCAAGAAAGACTGAAATGCCTCTATACCATTTGGTTGTCATACTCCGACTTTAGATTGAGTAGAAGCAAGTATGCCCGAGACGCATGCTCCGTTCAAATTTGAATGGCATTCCCGATCTGTCACTTTTGGTAGAGAATGCAAGTTTAGAAGTCAAGTAATGCTCCGCTTAAAGAAATTGGCATGCTAGATGGATCATTTCAAGCGACTCCTTAATCATACACTAAAAGTCGTTAAAGTTGCTCCTTTACACCACAAACAATTGGTTTTCTACCAAAAACCTCTAAAATAGTCTTTTAAAATCCGACATGGCGCATCTTTTTGTCTCCTATACAGCAAAAGGAATGCATCCTTGTCTCCTATACAGCAAAAAGGAATGCATCCTTGTCTCCTATACAGCAAATGGAATATAGAGCTAGCTGTAAACAAAGAGGAATTATGAAACTAACTGAGACGAGAAACATCGACCTCATCTGGAATTTTGAAAGTATCTGCTGCCCCAAATTTCCTCCTTCCTTCATCGACCGAGTTTTCATCATCACTTTCAACATCGTCAGCTTCATGATTGATATGACTTGAGGGATCGTGTATACTTTTGGCTCTGCAATCACGAGTAGCAAGCATCTTTACCTGGCCAAGGTGAGAAATTTCTACCACAACGGTGTCATTCTTATATGCAGGATTGGGTTGGAAACTGGTTTCAACGGCATTTCGGTTGGTTCTTGGGGATGGGTAAGTGTTTTGGGGAGTGGGTGCGCGCCATTGGGCACGAGTAGGAGATTGTGGGTATGTCTGGGCATGATGGACAGAGAAATGGGGAGTAGGAGGTGGGTAGTAATGCTGTGGTGGGCCATATGAGGTGTGCGTGTAAGTTTGAGGGTGAGGGCGAGGTTGGTGATAATATGGTGACGGGCCCCTGGACCAAACCCTTGATTCCACTACTGTCACTTCTTCTTTCTTCTTCTTGCCCAATACTCCTCAGGTGCCGCTTTGAATGGCCTGCGTGGTTGCTTTGAGTGCTGAATAGCTCATAATTTTGTTGGACTTGAGACCCTCTTCTACCATGCTTCCCATCTTTACAACTTCGTTGAAAGTTTTCCCCACAGCGGATACCAAATGGCCATAGTAGGTTGGCTCTAAAGCCTGAAGGAAATAATCCACCATCTCATTCTCTTTCATCGGGGGATCAACCCTTGCTGCTTGCTCTCTCCAACGGAACCGTATTCTCTAAAGCTTTCTCCGGGCTTTTTCTCGATTTTGGTTAGTGACAGACGGTCCGGGACTATTTCGAGATTGTACTGAAATGACATGCAAAGCTTGAGCTAAGTCATCCCAGGTGTACCACCGAGCATGATCTTGTCTTGTGTACCACTCCAACGCCGCTCCACTTAAGCTTTGACTAAGTAGGCCATTATAGCTCATC